GTATATTGGAATTAAACCCTTTGAGGGTCCGTCCCATAGATCTACGGCTTTACGTTCAGGGTCCAAACCGTAGATCTACGCATGAGCTCAGCTCACTCTGATAAACTGTGAGTGGTACATTTGGGCCTAGATATGAGAGAATACATCTATGTGGTATGTGTGCACCACATAAAACAGGTCCTGCAGCACGCTGTGTATAATGAGAGAAAAAAACTGAATTCATGATTTTTCGATTAAAACAGCACTTTGCAGTGTTTTTTTCGTAGTTTTTTATAGTTCTATTTGTGATTTCTTGGTCTCATTTGATAGAATGGAAGACATATTACAAGAAATCGAGATGATTTTGATTGGTTTTCGCACTGGAAATGGCTTGAAACTAAGCTCAAAGTAGCAGAAATGTTAAATTTTTGCCGATATTCAAGAGTAAACAAACGACCTCACACGTCTAATACACGCCAGCTGGTGGGTCTAATATGCATTCACAAATATGGTGATGATATTTATACAATTATTACAGTATTGCATAACAGTAAATCTTCTATTTTTTGGTGTGAATAAAAATTCAATATGTGAATAAAAAATAAAAAATGGAATTTATTTGTAAAGCCCAAAACGTAACTAATGAACAGAGGAATGTTAATTTAGTGCCAGGAATACCTACATTGTTTATTTGGACCCTATTTTAAAATTTGGAATATTTTGAACTTTGTTTTAAATTGGCCAAATTAACAATTTCCGATCACTTTAATTGTAGTTGAAACAGTTGACTTGGGCGATTTTTGTGCTCAATCGATAGAATAGAAGTAATACTAGTAAAAACAGCTAAGAATTTGGTTGACTGGAATAATGTAATTTGCCTAAAATGGGAGTCAAAGTCGGCAAAATCGCCGATTTGTAAATATCGCTGACACATCAAAATTCGCGAGAGCATAATTTCGTCAATTTTCCATCAAATTTCGTACTTTTTGTTTTATTACTTTCACAAAAAGATTCTCTACCATTTCATAAGAAAAAATAACAACTCTTTTTTTGAAAATTCTTGGACACTGGGGCACCACTTCAGATTTGGGCCTTGGACCCTGAAGGGGTTAATAAACCACACACACACACTACAGAATATGTAAAATTTATTTTTGAAAATACTATACAGTTTAAATCCTCTAATGTTTAACCCAAATTCTTAACTAAATCCTGAAATTAATCTTTACAGTATATATCACAAGGAAATATTTCAAATACAGCAGTACTGTATGTCTTACAATTGATGTTATACTGTAGTATTCAATAAATTTTGGCTTAAATATAATGTTTGTATAAACTGTAGTACTGTACATAAAAACTGCAATTATGTATATTGCTGAAACAGCTTTGTTGCAGAAGTTCAATGTATGTATTCTTAAAAATGAAAGGTTCAGTAATATTAAATTTGGTGGCTTCAGCATAAAAAAAATGTACTTTATATCAGTGGCATGTACTTATGTCTATTTAGCTAAATATGTACAGTACTGTATTACTTAATTATATAATGTATTCTGTATTTTTGTTATTTATAACTCTGTCAATTTTAACCTGGTGTGAAAGGAAATCAGACTTTAAACTTGTTAGACAGGAGAGTTTAATACTGGAAAATCTGTCCTAGGAATATGCACCATTGGATCTACAGTATCATCGTCTATCTGTTTGACGAGTAAGGTGATATACAGTACAGTGCTACTTTCATATGTGAAATCAAAACTATTAATTTAACTTATGGTAGGTTGGTAGACAACAAGTGCCCAGGGAGGTATGTACTACCTCGTAAAATGGAAGCCTGTAATTGGTAGGATTCCTGGTGTCTTTTTTTCTGTTTCATAAACATGCAAGATGTCAGGTATGTCTTGTTACTTCTACTTACACTTAGGTCACACTACACTTGCATGTACAAGCATATGTATATACACACCCCTCTGGGTTTTCTTCTATTTTCTTATTAGTTCTTGTTCTTGTTTATTTCCTCTTATCTCCATGGGAAAGTGGAACATAATTCTTCCTCTGTAAGCCATGCGTGTTGCAAGAGGTGACTAACATGTTAGGAGCAAGGGGCTAGTAACCCCTTCTCCTGTATACATTACTGAAGTTTAAAAGAGAAACTTTCATTTTCCTTTTTGGGACACCCTGCTTGTGGGATACAACTGGTTTGATATAAGTAGGACTGAGAGCAGTCTAATACTGTACCTTGTGAAAAGGATTCTGATGCTAGAATTCCCTGTCAATAATATTTTTTGTTATCACCAAAAAATGAACTCCCTTTACTATAGGTTTGGGAAGTGAAAGCAGAGCATACTCCCAGTTGTCCCTCTCTCCCTAATACTTCCCTGGTAGATCCCTGCCAGCAACACTGCAGAAATATGACAATACTTCAGCAGTTTATTATCAAATTTGTATTTATTAGGGTTCACAGAGCTTTTCCACTCTGCATCATTATGTGGGTTTAGAAAATAATTTTCAGTTTGCAATTCAGTCACTGAAATGTAACTATAGTCAAACCTCGGTTACTGCATGCCCTAGTTTTGTTATGCTTCGGTTTTCGACGACTTTTTTCGTCTAAATTTTGTCCCAATTTCTGTACATCCACTCGGTGTTCATACAGTTGAAAATGGGCCGTACCAAACTCGTCTGCCTGCCCACGTGACTTGGCCACTCATTTCCTGGAATCGAGTGCCCACACAAAGCATCCCAAGCGTTCGTGACTCGGTCTGCCTCAGTCTGTGCAAAGTGGAATTTGTTAAAAAGCTTTGTGGAGAAATATGACCTTAACAAAGCTGTTGCAAGTTGTGTCTGCAACATGTTCAATGACAAAATGCCTTGTCCCATTTTAGGCAAATCTTAAAGAGATGCCAGAAGCAGAGCTCTCTGGACAGATTTTTTGTGTGACAGGGGTCCAGTGACTCAAGCTGGTCCTAGTGCCAGTAAAGAAGAGAAGTAACCCCAGATAGGGCCTTGATACCTGAATTCCTTATGGACAGGGATTCCCCTTCCAAACAATACTTCTCCTCCTCCCTCTCCCCTTCTTGCCGTCTTCCATATGCCAACAGGAGTCTTCAATAAAGCTAAAAGTGATGTTAAATGTTCATTTATCCATTTCATTAGTCATTTATATTTATTTCTCATTGTTTTCTGTATGTAAAATTATAGTTATTCTCTATAAAATGTATTTTTTGTTAATATTTTTGGGTGCTTGGAACGGATTAACTGGATTTTGTATTTATTATAGGAAATATTACTTCAGTTTTCGTATGATTCGGTTTGCTTTGGACTTTTTTGAATGGATTAATCACGAAAACCGAGGTTCCACCATATAACGTTCTCTTTCATTTTTTATCAATGAAATCACAATAGGATTTTACATGTCAGGAGAACTAAAGATAAAACTGACAAATCTTGTGGTTTATAAAGTTGAAATTGCTCGGAAAAGTCTTACAGTGAAATAGCTAGTAGTATCTGTGAATTAATGGTTTCAGCAATGACTGCATCTGTGAATTAATGGTTTCAGCAATGACTGCATCTGTGGAGCACAGCTTCTTTGCTTTGGAGTCATTTAAAACTTACTCCAGAAATTTTTAAGTTCAAATAAAGACTAAAAGTTTTTTTTTTTGTATCAATTGAAAAGGAATTATTGCAGAATTTTTAGAGCAAGCAATAAGTTTACATTAAAGTTACTGATCTTTTGCTCATTTTATATTAATCAACAAAAGCTTAAGAGCCATTTACATACTCCTAGAAAATTTCTCACAACAAACCACTGCTTTCTATAACTGCATTTCAGTTTCAGCTTGACAGAAAGAGATACCTCAATATAAGAAAATTGATCGTACAGTGCTAAAGAAAAAAAAGGTACTCACATAATCCTAACTAATATTAGTACTGTATAGGCAGAGTGAATCTAACTTTACATATTAATTGAATGTTTTATATCTACCACAATCACTTTGCTATGATGACTTATCTGTGAGATTTTTGCCTAGTTTATTTGAGCATGATTGAAAAATTCTATACCTAAATATAATCACGCTATATTCTACAAGCACTATTGTTGTCCCAAGGCACCATGCATGAAGGCATGCTTGGTGTCGTGGGACTCAGCCCTCTACAGGTTATCAAATGATATATTTATAGAGTTGCATAATAAGTAGGTGAGTGCAGTCCTATGGTACAGAGTGCATTTTACAATGATCTGGTGCCTCAGGAATTTGTTGTCAGATAGTCAACCAAGGCTTCTTTTATGTTACATTCTGAGACACTGCTAATGTGACACATACAAAGATCCTGAGCAAAAATTTGTGACACACCAAGGCCTGCATGAAATAAGCTATGGATCATGGGCATGATCTGTCTTCCACCTACTTTGTGCTAGTAGAAAGAAAAATATCATGAGGAACTGTCACCACTGGGAACCACATAGATCACTACTTACCTTAGTAATTAGTAATATATCTAATTTATATAAATGATTTGTGAGAAGGAAGAAAAATTATGCCTGTATAACCATGTAAGTAGATGATGCAAAAATCCTCTGCCAAATAATAATTTCTATAAATTCCTACAATAAAACTTATGAAAGGGGAGCAGACATGAATGCATTCAATTAAGACATTTTTATTAAAAAACATCATCTTCGGATTGTCATCACTTCAAATACAGTACAGTATGTACATGTATTTGAAGTGACCAAGGTCCAAGGGATGAAATATTTTCAATAAAGGCATCCTAATTGAATGCATATGTGTCCACTTTTCTCAAGTTGTAAGCAGACATTTGCCTACCTACACTTCCTATACACTTGGACAAACTGAGACAATGAAGTGAAAAATAGTTGAATTTAATGCTAGTAAGTGCCAAATACTTATGGATATGGGAAAAAGCAAATGCAGGCCACATGTTGAGTACATATTGTGTTGAAGAGAAAGGGAGATTTAACAGTAATTATAAACAGAAGGTTGTCACTGTGCTATACTGAAAAACTTGAAAATAGCCTTTATATATATACATACAGTGAAATACAAAAATAAAAACAACATATGTCAGGTCAAAATAAATACAGTAAGGCAGAGCATATGGCACAAAATGGCTCCTAAAGTTAAGAAAAATGAGTTACAGAGCAAGACTGAAATTCTGAAGGAGAGGTAGGGGTAGTACCAAGAAGGGTTGGAGGAAGGGATGAAAGATATGTTAAGTGGTAAAAATTTGAGCATCTAGCATGTCTGCATGAATGTGTTAGATGAGAGTGAGAGGAATCAAGTGATTTTTAGAATTTCATGTACTGTTGGAGTGTGAGCAACTGGAATACCTGAACAACTGGTTTCCTTGAATCCAGCTAACTGGATTCAGGGAAAAACCATTTAGTTAGACTCGAGTCCTGGAGGTGAAAAGTAGTGCCTACATTCTGAAGGGGCGGGGATATTGCTGTCTGGAATGTGTTTTCTTTACTAGGTCATACTACTCTGTGGGAATTAGCCAATATAATTAAAAAAAAAAAGAGTACAATGAAGTATTGCTGAACATTGCTTTATCTGGATTAAAGCTATTTTGTTATGTCTTTAGAAATTTAGAGAACACATGTAATGCAGAGAAGAGCCAAACTGACAAGAATATATGAACTGCGAAAAACAATATTTGAAACACAAAAACTGAAAAGACTTACAGGTGGAACATAATAAAAAAAAATATTAGGACGGTATAGACGATGACAAATTAAGAAAATTTGGTAATTACTCCTGAAGAATAAAAGTTTTAATTCATATAACAATTACATCTCAAAAATTAAAACGTAAAAAACTACAGATCACAATTAGTCATATTCTCAAGGTCTTCAGCTGCTTCATATTTGCTGTATAGTTCCACATTATTAAAAAGTCTTATTTTGCTGTTGCTGTGAGAATATTTATTGCTTAAACCAGATTGTGATATAACTGAACTGGATCCATGTGAACTCTGAGAAATACTTGAGAAGTGCTCTCCAGTAATTAACCCACCCGTTAATGGATTGTTTATTGGAGCAGATTTTTTTATATTCACAGGTGTATAAGATTTTCCTTTAGCATGTAGTAGATTATCTACGCTCTTGAAAATTTCTTTTTGCACATTATTGTCTTCAAATATTAAGTGACTTGATTTGTGTACTGGATGCCTTTCTTGAGCTGATAAAGTAGGATGTACAGGTTGTTTACTGTCTGCTGCATTAGCCTTACCATTCAGAGTATCACTGGATGTTTTCTTAACTGTACAACCTGTTAGAGAAACTGACATTTTAGGAGCAAAATTTTTTTCTAATGACTTGTCAAATTTACTTAGAAATGTAGTTCTTGTTTTAGTATACATTTCAGAACTCTTACAACTGTTCATGTGTATACCTTTACAGAGTGTCACATGTGTTTTATCTCCAAACTGGTTTTTACCTTCCAAGTTGCCTGTGTCTGATGTCTTAAAAATGTCTCTGGAAGTAAAGCTGTTGTCATGATTTTTGGTTTGTCTCTGTTCTGCAACTGGCTTCAATGAGTGATTATCTAAAATACGTAAACCCTCTGACTCTCCATCTATCAATCCTGGTTTGTTAGTTAGCATCTCAACGTCTATTCTTCTCATGTTAACAGAGCTTCCTACATAAGGATTGAACTGCAGTTCATCCCATTTTGAAAGCTTAGTCCTTTTTGCATGATCCCTTACAGGCCCTTGAGAAGTCTTCTGATATCCTTTTTCACTTCTAATTTGAGTTGATGCATGCCTCACTCCAGTCCCAAAACCTTCATATTTTATTTGGCTGCATCTGAAAATATGCAATATACTATACAGTATTTGATTAAACTTTTTTATTAACATACTGGCGGTATCCCACCAAGGCAGGGTGACCTAATTTATACAGGAGAAAGGGTTACTAGCCCCTTGCTCCCGGCATTTTAGTAGCCTCTTACAACGCTTGGCTTACAGAGGAAGAATTCTTTTCCACTTCCCCATGGAGATTGATTTAACTACAATCATTATATAAATGCTATTTACAAAACAATAATTGTATAATTTAAGATTCTTGAATTAAGTTGTCTTAATGAAGATAATACAAAATTAAAATGAAATGCATGAATTTATATATGATGCTCTTCTCTGCACTTTTTTATTTTGTTTAAATGATTACATGTAAAGTGGATATGGTGTGTTTTTTGAGTAGTGTATAGATATTTGCAAGAAATATCAGACCCAAAAATTTATTATTTTATTAGCACATTGGCTGTTTCCCACCAAAGCTGGGTGACCTGAAAAAGAAGAAACACTTTCATCATCATTAACTCCATCACTGTCTTGCCCAGAGGCATGCCTACACTACAGTTAGAAAAACTGCAACATATCAACACCTCTCCGTCAGTGCACAAGCACTACTTCCCACCTCCAGGACTCAAGTCCGGCCTGTCGGTTTCCCTGAATACCTTCATAAATGTTACTTTGCTCACGCTCCAGCAGAACGTCAAGTCGTAAAAACCATTTGTCTCCATTTGCTCCTACCTAACACGCTTGCTGGAAGTCCAAGCCCTTTGTGCACAATACCTCCTTTACCCCCTCCCTCCAACCTTTCCTAGGCTGACCCCTACCCAGCCTTCCCTTGACTACAGACTTATATGCTCTCCAAGTCATTCTATTTCATTCCATCCCCTCTAAATGTCCGAACCACTTCAAGAACCCCTCCTCAGTCCTATGGATAATACTTTTATTAAGCCCACATCTCCTCCTAATTTCCAAACTACAGATTCTCTGCATTATACTCACACTGCATACTGCCCCCAGACATGACATTTCCAATGTTTCCAGCTATCTCCTTGTTGCAACATTCACTACTCATTCCTCACTCCCATATAAGAGTGTTGGTATAATTATACTCTCATACATTCTCCTTTTTGCTTCCATGGATAACATTCTTTGTATCCACAAACTCCTCAGTGCACCAATCACCTTTTTCCCATCATCAATTCTATGATTCACCTTGTCTTTCATAGCCCCATATGCTGACAAGTCCACTCCTAAATACATTCACTTCCTCCGTACTCCCTCCCTTCAGTCTGTTATCCAATATTTCATTACCTAAATTTTTTATCCTCGTCACCTTACTCTTTGTGAAACAAAGCTGAAGGGGATGGGAGAGTTTCAGTGGGGAGAAATAAATGGGATTAAGTCAGGGGTTTCAAACAGAGTTAGAGCTAAAGAAGGAGTAGCAATAATGTTGAAGGATAAGTTATGGCAGGAAAAGAAGGAATATAAATGTATAAATTTAAGGATTATGTGGAGTAAAATAAGGGTTGAATGTGAAAAGTGGGTTATAGTCAGCATTTAAGCACCTGGAGAAGTGAGAAGTGTAGAGGAGAGAAAGAGATTTTGGGAAATGTTGAGTGTGTGGGGAGTTTTGAACCAAGTGAAAGAGTACTTGTAGTTGGGGATCTCAACACTAAAGTGGGTAAAAATGTTATGGAGGGAGTAGTAGGTAAATTTGGGGTGCCAGGGGTAAATGAAAATGGGAAGCCTTTAATTGAGCTATGTGTAGAAAGAGGTTTGGTAATAATACGTATTTTATGAAAAATAGGATAAATAAGTATACAAGGTATGATATAGCATGTAATCAAAGTAATTTGCTAGATTATGTATTAATGGATAAAAGGTTGATGGGTAGGCTTCAGGATGTACATGTTTATAGAGGAGCAACTGATATATCGGATAATTATTTAGCTGTAGCTACAGTTAGAGTAAGAGGTAGATGGGACAAAAGGAAAATGGCAACAGCAAGTAAGAGAAAGGTGAAAATGTATAAATTGAGGAAGGAGCAAGTTAGTGTGAGATACATGTATAAGCAACTATTGGCAGAAAGGTGGGCTAGTGCAAGTATGAGTAGTTGGGGGGTTGAAGAGGGTTGGAATAGTTTTAACCCTTTCAGGGTCCGTCCCATAGATCAACGGCTTTACGTTGAGTGTCCAAACCGTAGATCTACGCCAAAATTCTAGCGCCGTCAAATTTAGCGCGAAAACGCTCATAGGCCTACATGTGAGAGAACAGGTCTGCATGGTGGGTGTGCGCCATAAACAAAAAATCTAGGCGCCCGCATAGCATTGTGGGAACGCCGGCTCAGTTACCCTTGTTCACCATGCCTCGTCGCAAGTCAGCTCTCACTCCCTTGAAAATTGGGACTCTCCTCTTCCTATCTGATAGTTCTGACACTGATGGAAGTGGAAATGAAGACGAATTCTACGGCTTTGATCAGTTAGTGACGAAAAGAATGACCAGGATATCGATAATAGTGCAGAAAACCCTGACGATCCTCAACCTTCTACCTCTGGTGTGGGCACTCGTGACTCACGGTCGGTTTGTTCCTCATCGCAAGAGAAAAACTAATATTTTCGCGTGGCCAGGCCTCTGACTTCAGTAATGATGATAAATGTGACGTGGACTGTGATTTTTATTGCGCTCGACGATCATTCGAGTAGTGATAGTGAGGAATCATATTCACCAGTGAAGCGTCGGTATGTTTGCCGCCACATGCGCTCGGGTAGTGTACCCTATGCTGTGCCCAGGGGACGGAGTACATCCCGGGGTACATCCCGTGGCCCAACACCAGTTTTAGGTAGTGATAGTGAGGATGATGTGGCTACCACTTGGCATGGATAGACCACAGGCATCAGTGGATGGTGTTAGTGGTGATGGTAGTGGCGGTGGTAGTGGCACCGCCATGCGTGACTCACCAGGCCATGCTGGGACCCACGCTGCTGACTCGTCAGTTCAAGGACAAAGCGGAGCGCCAGCCACCAGCCCACCACAACCACAACCACCCGCACAACCAGCCTATGATGTCCAGTATCCACCAGCAAACCGTATGTGGGATTGGCAGCAAAATCCCAATTTTGTTCCCAAGCCTCACCACTTTGATGACTCTCAAAGTGGAATTCTACCTACTTGTCCCCTTGGAACCACGGCCAGTGAACTGGAATTCTTTGAATTATTCTTTGACCAGCAATTGATGGAAATTATTGTCAGGGAAAGTAATAAGTATTTTGAGTACACCATGGCAAATACGATCTTATCACCACAGTCACGACTACACAGGTGGAAAGAGACGACTGTTGCAGAAATGTATTTGCTTTTTGCAACAATAATGCTTATGCCTCACGTCTATAAGCATAATATAAAAGCATACTGGTCCACAGATTGGCTAATTTCTACCCCGGTCTTCAGTGAAATCATACCAGTGAACAGGTTTATCTTACTGTTACGTATGTTGCACTTCTCTGACAAAACCAGGCCTGACAGAAGTGACAGGTTTATACAAGATTAGAAATGTTTTTCATGTATCTCAAACAAAAGTTCAGCATATACTTTTATCCATTCAAGAATCTTGTAATTGACGAGTCTTTGATTTTGTTCAAAGGTAGACTGTCATTCAAGCAGTATATACCGAGCAAGAGGAAACGCTTTGGTATAAAAACTGTTTTGTACTCTGTGATTGTGACAGTGGCCTGGTGTTGGATATTGTTGTATACACGGGTTAGAAAACATTGAAAGATACCAAGATGTTATTGGGTATCTCAGGTGACGTAGTGAGAAAACATGATGGCACCTTATCTTGGTAAGGGGCATACTTATATACCGATAACTGGTACACAAGCCCATTATTCAGTGATTTCATGCGAGTGAACAAGACAGATGTGTGTGGCACAGTGCGTTCTAATCGTAAACATATGCCCAGGCTCAACGCAGGTGCTCGTGGTGATGACGTGCAGGTGTTTACTGCCAATGACATCATGGCATTACGGTGGCATGACAAACGAATGTCACTTTGTTGACAACCATTCACCGTAATGAAATGCAAAGACAGTGGCAAAGTTGATCGAGTGACTAATGAACGTATTCGAAAACCAGTGACAGTGATTGATTATACACAAAACATGTGCTTGGTTGACAAATGTGACATGCAGATTGGTTTTGTTGACTGTGTTCGTAAGAGTTACAAGTGGTACATGAAACTTTTCTTCCATCTCATGGACATTTCAATGCTCAATGCATATAATATGTACCAAATAAAGACTGGCAACAGACCACCGATGGTGAATTTTGTTTGTCTGTTGTCAGACAACTCATAATGAAGTACCAGGTAACAACACCTGCTATACAACACGGTCCTCTGAATTCCTCAGGATATACCCAAGCGTTTGAGGAGGGAAGTGATCAAATTTTATAATACAACTTCCTTCAACTCAAAAAATTTGCTCAGAAGAGATGCATCGTCTGTGCACAAACAAGAAGACGGCAACAAAGACGCAAAGACACTCGGTTTATGTGTGAGGAATGTAAGGTGCCTCTGTTTCATGGTGCCTTGTTTCAAGGAGTTCCACAAGCTCCAGCAGTTCTAAAACCATGTCCAGTGATTGTAAATATGTAAATATATGATAGAACATTAGTATTATACAAGATTTGTGCATGTTTATTGTAATAAACAACAGTGGTAAACAATAATATGATAATAACTTTAGTGCGGTTATTGTGTTCAATACAGTGAGTTTATATATATACATTATATACAGTATTGGTCTCTCAGGCCCCAAATGTTAGTAGGAATAGAAAAAAATTGGAAAAGAAAAGAAAAAACAACAAAACCGCAAAATAATGTAATGCGCGTATGTGGAATTCGTCGATGTTGCTGCCACCACATCATTTTGGACAAACTTCTTGGCACTGTATCTCGGTAAGTACTGATCAGATTTTTTTTTTTGTCTTATTACCTTCACAAAAATATGCTCT